CTGCGTCAGGAAGGAGACTGTCTAATAAACAGTACCTCTGAAATTTTCTTCGCAAGGCGATCTCATTGCAGAACCATTGCTTGCATGTTGTGAAAAGCTACCGAAATTACACGATGGTGCCGCTTTAGGTGGCCTCCATAGGAGGAGCGGAATTCCGAATGGATGAGTGGGGTGTGGACTGTGTCTATGCGGCTACTCAAAAGGTGCTCAATGCACCACCAGGATTGGCTCCGATCTCGTTCAGCGATAAAGCGATGTGAGTGTTCAATCAAAAGCCTCATTTGGCTATTTCCGTTGGGAAACATAATAGTAATTATCAGCAACAAGTCCCAGTGTCTTTAGTTGGATCTGCCCGCATTAGATGAGCATGATCTTTCTACAGGGTCAGAGCTATTTCCTTTTTATCATAAGGGCGGCGCTACACCATGTAATCCGATGTTGAAGGCTTCTTCTTTACTATTAAGGTTACTTCGCTCGAAAATAAATAAACATGTGCGAAGTGGTCCGCCAGTGAAAAGAAAGGACAAGAAGCTAGCTAAAGCTCTGAAACTAGAGTTTTCATTTTTGAAAGGCAGACAGCTCAAGAGACAGTAGGAACTAAAGAGAGAGATCAGACTTCAGGATCAAATAGTATAGGAGACTAGAAGGACGCAGACAACTCTCCGCGTAGACCGTTGCATCACGAGCAACAGAACCGACGGCCATTTGTGACAGCACCAGTGACAAGGCCTCAGCGCTTTTATCACGCACTTTCGGACCACAAGAACTGAATTTTTCTACCTGGTTTCTACCTTTACCCCCTGGTTGCTTTATCCTACTAATGGGACTAACTACTGGCTGCAATGTAAAATGAGCCCTGAAAGATCATGAGATTCCTAATTTTTCTAACTCCGCGTAGAGATCACAAATACTGTTAGGAATCCGCAATTCTCATGCAAAACCTCAGAAAATTGAATCTACCTAGTTATCAGTCAACCTTATTCATCTACATCGACTTATTTCCAGACAGAAGATTAAAAATCGCAAGGAAAGAGTGCCATCGTTTTACTTTGATGCATTGGAACTGGGAAATTATTGGGGATGTGACGGCCAACCAATCAGGTAGTTCCGACATTTCAATGTATTTTTTTCTTTGTGTGTGTATCTGTATAATTGCCACGTTTTTGAATGAAGTTTGTAGCCATAATGGGCAAAAAAGGCTTGTAGGCATAAACGTGGAAGGTGATGCATTCCCGGGTGACTGTGTCATATCAATTCTACAGGCTGCTTGGTTATTGACCGTATCATTTATTTATTTGTTTATTTATATGCTCAGAAGAGTGCATCAGTAATCTCATGTAGAAAAAAAAACAGTAAACAAATCGGTAATGAGAAATAAAAATGAAGGTGAAAGGGATAAGTTGGCATAAAAACCGTCCGCGGTGCAGATGAATTATTGTGAATAATTACATTCATTGGAGGTAGAAATTTAGCTCAAACGGATGAAAAGGTTGCTGTCAATATTTAAGGCACATTCTCTGATGGCCCAAGTAGGCATCGGCTCCGCGTTGCAAACTGCAAGTGAGAGACGGGGAATCCGTGGAACCCGCTTTCAGTTTTTTTTTATTTGGTTTCGGGGATGCACGAGAAGAACAAAAAGAAACTACGTGTTTACGCAAATTCTCGCCTGCTGATGTCACGTCAAATTCAACGATATCACCTGATTCCCTTCATCAGAAACACTTTCACTTCTGGAGTACTTACTCATTCTTCTCTTATCGTAACTGACCGCAA